CCCCGCTAAGTTAGAGTCACGCATTATTAGCAACTTTGTAGCGGCTAATTTTCCCGCATTATTAGCAACTTTGTAGCGGCTAATTTTCCACTGACAATTTGCTACAGATCGCTACAATGCTCATCTAGGCAGCTACAAATCACTGGTGTGCCATGACCCCCCCCCATCCTAGGCACTATAGTATTTGCACTTGATCAGTGCTGGAGTAGAAGAGGCATATATACAAACAAGCACTCTGATGGAAAAAAAAAAGCATAATATACATACTAGGTACAGTATTAGGTATGTAACTGTACAAAGTCCAAATACAATATTGAAGGAAGCTTCACAGAACTGCAAAACATAAGGCCAAAGGCTTCTATACAGATCACAGATATAATATTTGTTTTACATGTAGTAAATGTTATATAACTAAGGTTTTGCTGTAATATCAACGCAGCGCTATTAAAGATCAAGTGTATACTACTCACACCGACTGTCACTGAACCATTTAAATATAAGTAGTGAGCATTGACCAACTGTGTATTTGACAATATGTATTTCTGGATGATAAATATAGATTAATCTGCTTGATACAAATACAGTTAAAAACTCAGCGAAGTCAGAAATAAATCCAATATGTTGGGTTACAGATTATAAGCCAACAGATAAAAGTAATTTGAAGATGACAAATCTCAACCACAGAATGTAGCCAACATAGGCTTATGCAGGAAGAGCAGCAAATAGTTAAAAGGGAATCAGAAAACGGGGAAAAAAAACAAAAAAAACTCACGCATAGACAACTTCATAGGATATTAAAGGAAGCCTGTTATGACAGAAACACGGTTTCAATGCTTTGAGCCACTAATTTAAAAGGTATGAAGTTTAGGAGTCCTGACCACGTCTGACTTTTGTTAACTGCTTGACTTGTTCTGGGTCAGAAGAAGCCAAAGGGTCAATCCAACCATCAAACCACCAAAGAGAATTTCCAGCAGATGGTTAGCATAGTCAGAGTTGAAGCAAACTGACCAATCACTGGTGTGGAAATTGTGAGTTTGTTCATTTTTTCATTATTTTGTGAAAAGGTGAACACTTTAACAGTAAATCTTTTCACGTCACATTTTGACATATATTGCTTTAATGTAAATAATCTTATAAAAGGTTATTCATCTTTTTCTAAACCTAATTACAGAAATATTCTAATCATATATGTACACAACCATATTTGCTCATTCCATACAAAATGAGCACAGATTCCAGCTCTGCTCCGTAGTTCTACACGACATTTCTTTATTGCTGGTTATCTACTAACTCACCAAGAACAATGCATTCCCTATGTGGCTGGTAACCTAAAGCTGGTCACACACAATACATCCTTAGTGTAAATTCTCTGTACAATATCCTGTAAAATAACTAAAGCGAGGTCATAAACGGGCCTACATAAACAGGAGATTCAATATTTATCTAGTCAGGTAGGTCTGCACGTTACACGACTTTTAGTAGACATAAAAAGGAGATTGAACAATCAGATTGTACCATGCATGGACAACTTAATACGGGAAAGGACAGCTATTCAAACTGGTTCCAGAACTAATCTCAATATATCTATGTCTAGTACAATAAGAAAAGAAACATGCAACTATAGGAAAGTCGCACCAAACATCCCTATACATTCAACAGGGCAATAAAAATGTGAACTATGTGCTAGCTGAAACACACTAGAATTTCCGTTTAATATGCTGAACATACTGTATAGTTACCTGGTGAATTCAGATTTCCTGTGACTATAGGCCCTTTCAAAAAACCACTAAAAAAAAAAAAGGACGTCTTTGCCAGTAAACTTTCCAATGTAAAACAATACAAGCCTGCCCCGCTAAGTTAGAGTCACGCATTATTAGCAACTTTGTAGCGGCTAATTTTCCCGCATTATTAGCAACTTTGTAGCGGCTAATTTTCCACTGACAATTTGCTACAGATCGCTACAATGCTCATCTAGGCAGCTACAAATCACTGGTGTGCCATGACCATCAGCAGCTGCATTGGATAACACGAGTAGCTACTGACGTTGGGGATTTTGCCACTGGTTCCAAATGTTGCCTAACCTTGGTTAAATGACTCGCTTGGAATTTCAGTGGCATGGCTATGTTCACTCCTCCAATGTATTTATGACAGAGGAGCAGCATAGCCACCCTTGGACAGCAGTAAAGTCAACCTTATAGGATTGCATAGTATCAGATGGACTTAACATATGTGACTAACAAAATTAAAGCCCAACTGCAGCTAAAGTTCGCCATGCAGGCCTAGGAAAAATTAAACAAACATTTATCCATCCACGCTAAAACATCCCTGCTGGGCCATCGTATTCTGACAGCAGGAATTGCGCCTCTGTCAGAATACTCAAACAATGACGGCAGCACTGTTAACCCCAAATGTTTCCGGCCGGTTCCCTCAAATAATATGATCAAAGGATGGCAAACGGAAGACTGCCGACAGTGTCACCCACTGAGAAAATTTTGCACGGTTCATCAAGAACTGGCCAAGGGAAAAAGAAATAAAATTGCACAGCCAGCTTAACACTTTGGAAGCAGTTATGGCAAGAACATTCTTTTTTTTTTTTTCCCTTTTGGAATAAAGGACCTAACTATATGATTAAAAGCTGACCATAGTAGTGTCCCTGTAGTAATTGTTCAGGTATTGTGACAGCGGCCGGCACCAGCTGTAAGAATTCAATAACCCGGCAGGGAAGAATTCCCCGCCAACGATGTGGATAGGA